CCGGTCTGTATGTGGGATCCGAACCCTCGGGCGGGAGCGCCGCCGCGCTTCCCAAGCGGCGCACTATCCAGTGCGCCACCGGGCTGGCCCTAAGATAGTTTTTAAAATAAAAATTTTATTTTAACTCTCAGGTAGCATGCTAGCTTTACTCAATATTCAACAATATTTCCAGTTCTTTTCCCTTTTCTGGATGTATGGAAGGATTAAACTCCTCCCCACTTGAAGTTAGTTAGGCATGACCATGTGAGTTGCTTTAGCTAAGATGTGAGTAGACATGACAAACTGATTTCTAAAGGGAGGAAAAAAAGAATGAGGAAATAGGCCCCAGATTTTAACATTATTTCAATATGCAGTAAAAAACAAAATAAAATTCCATTAACTTCAAATAAAATTTGGCATAACTTGCATTTTTTAAATTCGTGAAAATAAAGAACAAATAAAAAGTTATCAAAATAGTTATGAGTATGATAAGAGTATCTAAAAATATTTGGTCTTGATCTGATCAAAATATTGGATAATTTCTTCTCCCATCCAACCAGTTTCTTTGATCATAATTTATATTTTATGAAAACCCATCAATATTTTACATAAGAATTTCACATTATTAATTTAAAAATTGTGAAATAATAATTAGAAGCCATATAATTTGAACTATTGCTTGAATTTACATGGCTAAAGCAATTCTGTCTTATACACACATGTCTCAGTTAAAGCAGCCTCAAGCAGCTGTGATTTATTATAGTTCTATTAATTTCAGAAGTAGTTTTTCTATGAAAAATATAAGCATATGAATTCACGACTATGCTGAATAGTGCATTTATATATTCTTCTCAAGATTTGTCATCTATTACAGTAGACAGACATTTTCTTTTCTCTCAGCCAGTGAACTCGAAAGTACCAAACTAAGCTTTCCTCAATTTGAATGTCCCTTACCAATGTGTTTAAATACATCTGGTTTTTCTTATTATTTAATGTCATATTAAACAGTTTCAGCTTATCATGATGACTAAAGGTATGCAAATGCGAATGTTGAAAATGTCACAAATGTACACCAAAGAAAAGCAGTATACTAGATGGTAAAATGCACACTTTATGGAATATTGAGGCTATCTTCAAATAAATAGTCTAGGAAACCCATAGTAAAGGTCAGCAGGCATTTAGTGATTGGAAGAGATAGTGTTACTTTATGAAAGGCAATACAAACTTCTTTAGAGTCTGGGAAGCTTGGTCAAGAATTGTGTGAATGCTAGATGGAGGGACCTGGCGGAAGAACTTTATGATATCAGGATGTAAAAAGAGAAGCGTGACTGCCTAGAAGGTGAGACTAACATTGACTCAGTTAGTGCCCCGTTTCCAGGAACAAATCTTCTCACCACCACCAAACAGGCTTGCGTGTGCATGCTTATGTATGTGTGGTCTACCATTTTTCTAGAAATCCCACAGCATTCTGAAAGAGCTATTAGGAATAATGCTGAATGAAGTACATATGACTTCCAGCAGAAGAATTGCATAGTGCTGGTGAAGTGTGCTGAGGCAGGAGGGGCAAGCCATCGCCTGTGATAAAGGAAGGTGGGAGCGGTGGGGGTGGGGGACTGAGGGGCTGCCTGGAATGAAGAATCCCCCAACTCAAAACCATTTGCATGCTCGGTTCTCTCTGTCTCCTCAGAGATTAGGTTAGATGTACCTCCACTATACTCTCATCATTTTGTTTAATTGTTAGAATTCTTACCTTAAACACTAAATTGTGATCTTGAGGATAAGAATTTCTTGATAGATTTCATGCTCACAGCACGTAGCACAGGGGCTGTTATCTAAGGGCTCAATGAATGTGTTTTGAATGAATGAAGGAATAAGTTAATGAATGGATGGTTAAGTAATGAAAAGCAGGCCTTGATGTGAGTCTGATTTATTGTGAACAGCCTACGTAAGAACAGCGACCCATATCAGGATATTCAACCACTACCCCCATCAAAATTATTCTGCTTTAGAGATACTTAAGACCTTTTCCATTACAGTTGGGTGTGCTGGAGATCATTTCTGCTACCTTTAGGGAATCTACAGCCT